CGCCCCCCTGCCGACGTAGGGGCCGCGGGTTCGTGCCCCGGTCCGGGAGGGTCCTGCATGCCGCGGGTCGGCTGGGCCCGTGGGCCGTAGCCGCTGAGCCTACGCGTCCGGAGCCTGTGCTCCGTGACGGGAGGGGCCGCAGCAGTGAGAGGCCCGCGTACCGCAAAAAAAAAAAAAGAAAATGTGCCTGATAATGTGTATTATGCAGAATACGCATTTGCTTTTATAATCCCATACGCTCTAGCAGAACTTAGCATTTTGGAGCTAAGACTTTATTATTAAGCTCAGTGACGATTTTGATCCCAGTTGACAGCTGAAGCCATGGACCTGGACCCAGTGACTCCTGCACTCCTTTTCCCAAGAAGGAGCAGAGTGGAAAAGCCATCCTTCCTGTGGAGTTCAAATGACTCAGCGTCGGCCAAAGGCTGCAGCACAGGGCCCACCCACCGGCCATCTGGGCACCACTTCTTACCTGGCCTTCGGGACCTCCCCAGCTGAAGAAAAAGATATGGCACGACTCCGGCCTGAGGGCAGCTCACTGAGGAAAGAGGGGACACAAAAGAGGGCGGGCAGCACGCGCACCCCAGGAACTCGGCCCGCCGCCCCCGTCTCACCTTCTCCTTCCCCGGCCTGCGTCCACACCGCAGAGGCACGTGTGTCCACGCACGCCCTGGCAGCTGCGCCTCTCTCACCCTGTGACTTCGACTGAGTGCGGCCCGTGGAGGGCCACCCCACGCCCAGCCTGTCGCTGCCGGCCCTCCTGGCCTCCTGGACTTACAGGGTGTGGCTCTCCGACTCATCCTGCTTGGTGATCCAGCTCTTGTCTCCCTTCAGCGTGGTCCGAACCTTCATCTGCTTGAGGACATTATTGCGTTCCTCCTCGCCTGGTGGGAGAGGCTTCCCTGGTGGCGGCAAGGCCAGGCAGCATCAGAAGCGGAGCCCAGCCCCAGGACCCCGAGGCCTCCTTTCCAGCCCTCCCAATACATTGCTGTCACTCGGCTGCCCAGGCAGCGCTGTGGCCTTGCAGGGCAGGCCTGGAAGGAGGCAGCCACGTGCCAAGCCCAGGACAAGAGGGCACCCAGGCCTCACCTTTGCTGCCTCCTCCGAGAGCTGAGATACTCATGGTGTTTGCTCTGAACGTCCCTTCTCGGTGGATTCAACAGGGCTCCTGGGGGCAAAGGCAAGCACATGGCTTGTCACTTCATGCATTTATAATGGCTCGTGGGTCACCATATGGTCCTTGGCAAATTGAGACCATGCAGACTGTCCTTTGGGTGGAGTCTGGGCAGAGGCCGCCGCTGGGCTGCACACTGGGAAGCATGGCATGGCCTGCCAGGGGCTCTCTGTTGGAGAGATGGCTGAGACAGGCAGACCACCAACTCTCTTAGAGACCTCTGATGGCCAGGCTCCCGCCCAGCGAGTGTAGGGGACGGGTGGAAGCAGTGGCGGACACTGGTGGACCCAGGAGGAGGGATGGGGGAAGGAAGGGTACAGGCTGGGGGACGGTCGCTTTGGGGGACCGTCTCTCTCACTCCTTAGTCGTCATCTGACAGACCTTGAACGGGTCATCTAACCTCTCCAGCCTGACCCAGTGTCTACCCTTCAGGACTGCTGTGAGGACAGAAGGCACCAATGTTCTTGCAACTGCCCAACACTACCCAGGACAGCAAAGATCGCCGTGACTCTCAACCTGTCCTTGTTGGGAGAGGGGACCCTCGCGGGTCCTTAATCAGCACAAGCACAGCCTGGAGGTGTCAGCCCCGTGTGGTTCGGGGGTTGGGGCCATCTCCGGTGGGGAAAGCCTGGGGCCCCACTGCCAACTCCTAGTGGCCCTCGGGCACGAGGTCATGTTGGGGAAGCAGGGAACGTCCTGTGCTCTGCTTTCTCTTCCTCTCTGTGTCTTTTCGCCCTGCCCTCCCCCATTGTCTCCTCTCTGCCCTTGAGCCAGGTGCTGCCCTTCTGTGGCCCGTGAAGGGGGGGGCCGTCATGGTCCCCGACACCTTCCAGCTCCAGGAGGCGCTGGGGTGAGGAAGTCGGCTCTCCAGGATGGGACTGGCCCAGCACGGGTTTAGTCAAAGCAGTGACCCGCCACAGCCGGCCCCTTGGGCCTCAGGAGAGGGGCTGGAGGCTCAAGCGAGTGGGCGTGACAGGAAGCAGGGGCCCTGGCTCTGCCCACACCGTCCTAAGGCACAGCGACCTCCCTCTTAGGGGCCTGCCACCCTCTGGGCCCCTCCAGGGCCAGGCCCTGAGCAGCCGGGCCATGCTGCCAGCTGGCAAGTCCTGGGAATGTTTTCATGGAGGTCACGGGCATACTAAAACGGGCAGGGCAGGGCGCCAAGAGGAAACCAAATTTGCCCCGTCAGCAAGAGCTGGATTTCCCATAAACTGCACCGAACGAGCAGCCCAGCAGGCCCGAGCCCTCTGAGTGCCAGGAACGGCACCTCATCACTGCGAACGGGAGCCCCGCGTGCCTAGCCCTGCACAAAAGGATGCCACGTCAGAGTTCTATTGAGCGGAGCTCACTCCACAGGTGACCGTCGGACCACACTGCCCAGTTGTCCCATCCCAGCAGCCCCTGGAATGGCCCCACTGGGCCGCCTGAGATCTTGGCCCCTCCGTCTCCTGGGGCTGCTGACTGACCGCGTGGCCTTGGGGGAGTCCCTCACCTCCTCTGGGCCTTAGCTCATCAGTTTCCCCTCAACAAGCCTGTTGGCCACGTTGCCTAGAAATTTTCTGTCGAATCAGAAGCAAATACGCCACTTACTTCCAGAATCAGGGCAGATGCATGAACATATGCAGAATGACAGAGACAGAGGGGCCACTGGGGACTCCCAAGCCAAAGGGGCAGGGATGCACCCGAGAGCCCACAGCAAGGGCTGGCTTTACAGCTTCTTGGCCCACCTCACCAGACAAAGACCAGGACTGACGCTTCATCGCAGAAGTCAAATGTCTTTTTTCATGGAACAAGAAATCTGAGTCAGGAACTAGTCTTCTCATGGGACTGAATAAGAACGCAGCGCTTTAGGACAAGGAGACTTTAAGGTGATGAGTCCCAGCCAGATGGATGCACACATGACATTTGAACCTATGTCCCAGCTGGACAGCTGGCTTCTCCCTCCACTTCACTGCCCGCCTTCCCTCCCCGCAACAGCGCTGGTTCAGGCTGCAGTGACTTCTGCCTTCCTCCTTGGCCCGCTGGTTTCCATCTCTGTGCCTCCTTCTGGCAGCACTCATCGGCCCCTGATCCCTCCTGCTGGTCCCCCACTGTCTCCAAGACTGGGGGCAAACTCCCCAGTCCCCTGACCCAGCCACTTTTCACACCTCAATGTCAACAGTGCGCTCCAAGCGGACCACATGCCTCAGGATCCCTGGAACATGGCCCTGCCAAGTCAATCCCCGTGCCTTTGCTTATGCCGCTGGGCTGGAGGCTGGCGGCGGCCGTGCTCCTAACTTATCCAATAGCGCCACCACTCCTTTGAGCCACGTCTCCTCTCAGACCCACCATCCACTCCCCGCCTCTGACCCTTCTCAGAAAGCAGGGCAAAGTAGCCACCCAATCCGTGGGCAGTCAGAAAACCCTCACTGCAGACAAGAGCAGCTTTGGACGATGGGGGCTGGACCACTCAGGAGGGCATTTCCTGGGCGGCTCTCAAACACTGCTGGCGGGCAGGTCAGTCAGGGCATCTTTGTGGAGGACAGGTCTCCGTGTGTGTCGAAAGCTTTGGAGAGGGCAAGCCCATTGATCCAACAGTTCCCCTCACAGTAACCTCTCCTAAGGATTCAAGTGCATAAGTACAACACAGTATACAAGAGGGTGTCATCCCAGTGTAGAATATGATGGTGGAAATTTGGCAATAATCTAAATTCCCAATAGTTGCATTTAAACATATTATGATCTACTGTTCAAGCAAATAATATGCGCCCATTACAAATGATATTGATATATGCGATATCCAACAAGCCTTCAGGTACATTGGTTTCCATATATCATTAAATGAAAGGCAGCTTTTAAAACCAGATGTGTAGGATGCTTCCATTTCCTTAAAAATACATTTACATAAAAATGCCCAGGAAAAGGACATATACAAAAATAGTTTTGCAGAAGCACCCTTGGGAGCAAGGCTCAGAAACACAAGAGACACAGTAGCAGAGAATGAACGCACTTTGCACGTGCGGGCTCTCTGCTCCCTCCCTCACTTGGAGAGAACTGACCAGGCATCGAGGATCCACAGCACCCCCCTCCAGCCTGGCTGACTGGAGCCTTGGTCCTGCCCATCCATGGGGCCTTGGGATGTGGGGTGCCAGCATCTAGTCCAGGCATCAGGGCAACCCGCCAGCAGTAAGTGTACCATCGTCCTGCTTCACTGTGAGCAAACTGGGATCGGGGAGGTTGGGCAACTGGCCCCAGGCCACACTTCCAACACTTTCAGAGGGTGGTGGGCCCAGCTAGAATCTGGGCCCCAGCTGTGGCTGCACAGTAGCCCTGCTGACCTCACACACGACATCACGGAGTGCTGCTTGGAGCAAGATCCTGGGGTCCAGGCAGCTCACCACCAGTATGATTCCTGCAAAGCAAGGCACATGGCCCCAGCAGCTGGCTCACACCCGCTGCAGGGAGGGGACTCTTGGACTCAGGCCAGCCATGCACACGGTGCCTGCCTAGACTCTCAGCCTCACTACCAACTCCGAGCTCCTGACTCCAGCATCCTCTCTGAGCTGGGCAGCCCTTGCCCTGCAGCCCCGGACTCTACCCTCTCCACGTCCAACGTGCCAAGGTCTCTTATGCCCAGGGCTTGCACCTGAGACGCAGGATGCAAAATTCAAGAAGACATGGGAAGAGAGAAACTGTTCTGCACCTCCCCACTCACCCCACGCAGAAGGTGGAGAAAGAGGCGAGATGGACGCTACATCACTGGAACGTTCCATCTCCAGTTGCCTTCAAAAGTGGGGCAGGAGGGCTTCCCTGGTGGCGCAGTGGTTGAGGGTCCGTCTGCCGATTCAGGGGACGCGTGTTCGTGCCCCGGTCCGGGAAGATCCCACATGCCGCAGAGCGGCTGGGCCCGTGAGCCATGGCCGCCGAGCCTGCGCGTCCGGAGCCTGTGCTCCGTAATGGGAGAGGCCACGGCAGTGAGAGGCCCGCGTGCCGCAAAAAAAAAAAAAAAAAAAA